ATTTCATCGCGTCTAAGGTGGCACTGGGCACATAAAATTAAGTTACATCTATAAAACTGGAATAGAAGCTATGGATCATAATGACCAGTCTAATTGCGAGACAATCCGATAATGGTCAGTATGTACATGAAGATGTTAATAATGTCCAGGTATAGGTTTAGAGCGGCAAAGATGTATTCCTCCGGACTGATGGAGTACTTATGATTACCGCCCAGCATCAACTGGGTATCGTACACCAAGTAAACGGAGAAGAGCAATGCTCCCAAGGAGGCATAAACCAGTCCGATCACCTTGCCCGGGATGAAAATAGCGATGATGCCAAAGATGATGAAGACCACCAGACAGGCCACCAACACTCCTCCGCACATCGTAAAATCGTACTTGGTCTGCAGGGCAAACAGGGTGAGTCCCAGGGCCACCGCAGCCGTAATTCCCACTGCCATCAGCACCTCATCCGCCTGATACTGTCCGGCGACCATTCCCAAAAGGAACGACTCCGCTACGGTGAACAGGAAAAGGAAGATGAAGTTGAGAGGCGTCTTACGGCGTACACTCTCGCAACAGGCCATGCATATCATGGTCACGATAAGAACAGCCTGATTTGACAAAATATAGATTTTTGTTAATCAATATATAGCGTAAAACTTGTAAAAACTTACTAAGGCTATCCAAAACAGTGCCGGATTTTTTTGCACCCATTCCTGCGAAGCTTTCGAGAACGTGAATACACTAACAAAACCGAAAGTGATCAGCAACTGGCACTAAAAATAGACCAATATCAAAGATTAGTTGCAGGAAATCAATAAATTTTTAATTTTAAATCCAAAGTAGACATGCAATAAAACAAATAAGTTCATTGTTTGGACATTTTAAATGTATACAAATGTGCCATGTTTTTATTCCAGTTAAAATATCAGCACTTACCATCAATATTAAGTAGACCTTCCGGATAAAGCCCTTCCGAATGCTCTGGTCATCGAAGGCGAAGCTCTTGTCCGCTTCCGCATCTGTATATGCGCCAGTTTCATCGCCTGTGTGGTTGGAAGACAATTCAAGAAAGCAGGAAAGTTAATACAATGACTAACCGTACTGAAAATGATTGTCGCTGCTCATGGCTAAATTGCTATGACTAAATTTTAGTAACTAAAGTTATGGTGCTCTTTGCCTGACTGCCAGCAACGTGCGAGTGTTTCAGCTTAATGGAACCGAATTGCCCTTTCCAGGTGTTCTCATATGTCTGTATGAGTTGAGATTAGCCGGTTACCGACTCTTATCAAAGCCCGTCACTTCTAGATAAGATTTGTATATTGATGTCGGTGAGCAACTGATATTGCCACCATACAATTTGAACACGCTTATTCACTCTCCCTTCGATTGGGTGAATCAGAATATTTGGGCTCTTGCAGAAACTTATTCAGCTGTCTTATCAGATGAAAATGCGGCGAGAGATTTATTTTGTATCCCCTTGCAGAGAGGGGACGATGCAGTCAATAAGCTTTCTACAATAGCCACATCGATTATCTAATCTAGAATACCTATCCGCAACCAATTTCGTTTGGTTCAGCCCCATCCAAGTTTTACTTGCCTTGCTGGTAGTGATACATTTTATAGCTACGCCCAGCTGGAATTCACACGAACTACTAAACAGTTGGCCGGGTCAAACGCATGCTACGGGGCCAGCCCGAAATTAAAACACCCACTTCTTCTTTTTGTGGTGGTGCAGATAACAAAGTAAACTTAGGCAATGATAAAGAAAAAAGAATGACGATACTGGTCTGGAGTCTAGAAGTAATCCAACCTACGGCGTCGCTCTGCCGTTGCAGACTAAAGTTGCATCTGGTGGGGTGGTGGCTGCCTGGTTGAACTGGATGAACCACTGACGGAAGCCCCACAATGCTGGGGTCTGTGGCTTTAATAAATAGATGCGCTTTATTGTTGACTTTAAACTCAGTGTCGCTGCAGGGATTACAATGTTCGGTACTTGATTCATAGTTGAAAAATCGGGATTCCTCGGTTAAGTTTTATGTTTTAACAATTACAAGCCATCTTGCTTATATGTATACTCTCACATAAATATGTTTATACGTAAATATTTATTGTTGTTTTGTGTATCTGAATAGCATATCATTTGGTATACATACATACATATAATTTTGTTTGCTTTGGAAAATTTGGAAACATCCAATTGGTTTGCACCTCAACTTAAGCAAGAATATAACGTATGTAACAAAAATAGCCGCATTTAGCTGCCATCTAGAACTATAAGGAAAAGGGAAATTAGCAAATACAACGCGAAGTAGATAGATCGTAAGTATTTGAGCAATTCGTTAGTTGAAGATTGCCTCCACTGGGGGAGCACACCGATGAGATTACGCGACAACAATATTCGTATTCGGATTACAGAATAACCCGGCTAAACAGTAAACAATATTTGGAAATAGAGCGGAGCTTAGTCGCGTGACGCTCCGATTATAGTCAGAATGTACATGAAGATATTGATGATGTCCAGGTAGAGGTTTAGTGCCGCAAAGATATATTCCTCGGGACTGATAGAGTATTTGTGCTCGCCGCCCATCATTAACTGTGTGTCGTAGATGAGGTAAACGGAGAAGAGCAGCGCTCCGATCGAAGCGTACACCAGTGTTATGGTCCTTCCCTTTACGAAGATGGTCACAATGCCGAATATGAGGAAGACCACCATGCAGGCGATCAAAATACCGCCAATCATAGTAAAGTCGTACTTGGTCTGCAAGGCGAAGAGTGTTAGGGCCAGGCAAACCGCTGCTGTTATGCCCACCGCCAGAAGAACCTGGAATAAAAATTTCGATTTAATTTACTACATATCGTACATAAATCGAAGTACTCACCTCTTCCGGTGCATATTTGGTTGCGGAAACTCCCATTAAGAACGACTGAGCTGCTGTAAACAAACCCAAGAATATAAAGTTCGTCGGAGTTTGTCGGCGAACACTTTCGCAGCAAGCCATAGAGAGCATGGTTACTAACATCACGCCGAGAGCAACCCAAAAGAGCCACATGTTATTCCTAGCAAAGGTTTTAGTGCCGTCGTGATATACAAACAGGGCAACAGCTCCAAAAGTAACGATGAGTTGTCCCTAAAGAAAATGAAATGATGATTTAGTGTGTATGCTTTCTATGCGGTAGTATTCTAAGCTCACCATCAGAATCAGGTACACCTTACGTATGAATCCGCGCCGGATGCTTTGGTCGTCAAATGAGAAGTTCTTGGGCTGGCTCTCCGGATCATCGTAAACTCCGTAGCCGCCAGCAGATGGTGGTGGCTGGATGAATCCCGGCTGGGGAGCATAACCACCTGGTGGAGGCCCCTGTCCGTAGGGCTGTGGATAGGGTTGGGCACCTCCTTGGGCATAGGGTGGGTAACCTTGCGGAGGTCCTTGAGGTGGATAGCCGCCCTGAGGCGGATATCCGCCATATCCTCCCTGAGGGGGATAGCCGCCGCCATAGTTGTACTGCTGGTTGGGATCTGCGGAATAAGACATCTCGATTTAGTTTGTTATCTAAAAAGGAGCTTCCAACGTTGCGCTACAGCAATCTGTCTACCAAGAACTGTAAAATCTAAATGAAACGCTTCGCCGTAACGAAGAGATGCGGGAAACCAAGAAACAATCTCGAGCAAATATGTACATACAACCATGATAAGAAGGGACAAGTACAATGTGTAAAGAGAGAGGAGTAATGGAAATGAATCAGCTCCAAACTTATTGAGCATTCAACGGGTCGAAAAATCCCGGGACGAACAAAAGCATGCGATCAGAAAACGGGTAAGCTGTAACACTCGCTTAGAAGTTAAGAAGATTGAACCTTGGTATTGGGGATACTGGGGAACACTTTGCCAGGACATTCTCGAGGGACTTCGCTTTAGGGATTTCTAATTCCGAAACCGCTGTGGAGTAAACTTAGATCCAAAAAGAATGTGTTAGCACGGCTTGTCATTATTCCACTCACCTTGCATTGTTTCGATGTTGTTTTACCTGCAAAGACAGATGATAAGCAATCATTAGCTAATTTAATTAGCGGCTAAGAAATGTGCGCACTCTTTGGTGGCAAGCAACTTTAATTATCAATCGATTTGCCACTTGAGTACAGCTTGAGAAACTTCGACACCGTTTGAATTGTTGTGGCCCCATGACGTGTACCTCTCAAACTTTTGGCTGTGTGTACTCCGGAAATGGCTAGGGCCATTTATGAACCTTACCTACACGTTGAACCGCGAGCTTAGGCGCTTTAACCAAGTCGCAGCTATTAAATTAGTTCAGCCGGAGCACCACCAGTGCAAATAATACACACACAGCAGCTCGCTGTATACAAAGTGGTGACTCACTTTTGGAAATTACCAGCTTCTCGAAATTACCGGGAAACCACACTATTATAATTTTCTTTGCCGTGTCCTATTACTTTCCTATTATTTAAATTATGCTCTTTAGATGACCTATTACCTCTGTATTACGTTGCAATTTGATCAAAACAAACAAATGAATTCTGTTTTACTGAGTATTTGTTTTTTCTATAAATTTCAGAGATGCGCCTCTGACTGTTATCGAAACACACATGTAACAATCGATGGGATGGAACTTTTTTAAGGAGGTGGTAAATTTTTAGACTAAATTAGCCTCGGCTTAAATTTTAATTTTATCTAGCAAGTACCACACCTTGGTAAAAAACGTGTATATTTTGTCAGAATTAGTTCTTCTATATATACGATTATTGCAAACTTTTTATGATATGCTACAATTCCGTTGGGTTTTTAACAACATACAAATCATCTTGACATATTTTAGCAATCACTATCTGTCCTACGATTTTTTTGAGGCTTATATATCTACCAATTTACTATTGGTATTAGTTTTCACGATTAGTCAAGCGCAACTTAATTCTTAGGCTGCTGAAACAAGTGACGACACAAATCAAAAATGGTACCAGATAAATGCGCCACCCTAAGCACGCAAACATCCATCGATACCTATCGATAGGCGGGATAGAAATTCTCTAGACTGCACCGCGCTGCTGGCATGTGCAATAGTACACGACGCTGGTGAAATCAATTCGTTTGTGTATTAAAAGGGCAATATCTAGCTGGTAAGTCGAGTGCACTCGTATGCACAATTGAAACAACCAATTAGGGAGGAGACATCAAGTGAATGCCATCGGTAAATGATCGGATAAAAGACCGCAAAGTTTAGGTTATGTGCAAGCCGCTAGACAAAGAGTGTTCCTCAGCCCCCGGAAATATTTGTGGACATATGGCTATTAGAGGAGGAGATTGGGTCACTGAACTGCAGCCCGGAAGCCAGTGTCGCTTATTCGCAAATGGGGCACTTCATCCGCCAAGTGCTATTTATAAAACCATGACGCAACGCACACCATACTCCTCCTTTTTCGCCTGTTGCTCGCTTATCGATACTGTGTGGTTTACGTTCTAGTTTTGTGACCCTCTTGTAAAATATACATCATTCCCTTCCTTACAGCCGTTTTTGTGCATTCCAAGATGGTCGAGGAGAAAGAGAACGTGGCCAATGGGGAGCAGGTCTCCAAAAAGGGAGCTAAAAAGCTGGCCAAGGCCGCTAAGGTGAGAAGAATCTTCGATTTGGGGACGTGGCGTGTCGCTATTTTTGAACCTCTGATAACAGCTTTAATCTCTATTTGTACAGAAAGCCGAACAAAAAGCGGAGAATGCCTCCGCCGTGGCGGCTAATAATGCTGGCGGAGATTCTGCCGAGGATCACGCCGCCGGAAAATATGGCCTTTCCGAGATGATCCAATCCAAGGACAAACGCATTGAACGCAACTTTGTCCCAGTTTCGGAACTAAGCGGTCAGGTGGGCAAAGGACTGGTTTGGGTGCGAGGACGCGTCCACACGTCTCGAGCCAAGGGAAAGCAGTGCTTCCTCATCCTGCGTCAGCAGAGCAGCACGGTGCAGTGCATCCTGGCTGTCGGTGATGTCATCTCCAAGCAGATGGTCAAATTTGCGGGCAAGTAAGTTATCATCTTTCCCAGTTAAGATAAAATTTACTGAGGGTGTTTAACAAACAGCACTTCGATATCGAATCGGAATTGGGCAGGTCATATAGATATTTTCACCATACATTGATAAGATAATATATTGAAATCAATCAAAGGTTTATGAAATGATGAACATATTTCGAATTTTATTGTTGCAAAGATGAACATTATTATTGACCGAAGAATTAAGCTGAAAACTTCTTTTATATTTTCAGTATCCCCAAGGAAAGCATTATCGATATCCAAGCCAAGCCAGTGGCGGTGTCCGGCAAGATTGAATCCTGCACAGAGCAGTCGCTGGAATTGTCCGTCGAGCAGATATTCGTAATTTCCCAGGCCAAGGCTCAGTTGCCGTTGCAAATCGAGGATGCGTCGCGCCCCGAGAACGCCGATGATGCGGAAGGTCTCAATATTCGCGTGAACCAGGACACGCGCTTAGACAATCGAGTGCTCGACCTGAGGACCCCGGCCAATCAAGCCATTTTCCGACTGGAAGCGGGAGTATGTCGTCTGTTCCGCGATATTCTCACCGAGCAGGGCTTCACCGAGATACACACGCCAAAAATCATATCGGCGGCCAGTGAGGGTGGTGCCAATGTGTTCACCGTGAGCTACTTTAAGGATTCAGCCTATCTAGCGCAGTCACCGCAGCTGTACAAGCAGATGGCCATCGCCGCCGATTTCGACAAGGTCTATACCGTAGGTGCCGTATTCCGTGCAGAGGATTCGAACACCCATCGGCACTTGACCGAGTTCGTAGGCCTTGATCTGGAAATGGCCTTTAAGTACCACTATCACGAGGTGCTGCACACGATTGGCAACACGTTTACGGCCATTTTTAAGGGACTGCGTGACAAGTACGCGAAGGAAATCGAATCTGTAGGCCAGCAGTTCAAGGTGGATGCCTTCAAGTTCCTGGAGCCACCACTTATCCTCCAGTTCGCCGATGGCGTGGCCATGTTGCGCGAGGCTGGTGTGGAGACGGGCGATGAGGAGGATCTGTCTACGCCCAACGAGAAGCTGTTGGGTCGCCTGGTCAAAGCCAAGTACGACACTGACTTCTACATCCTTGACAAGTTCCCGTTAGCGATACGGCCCTTCTACACGATGCCTGATCCGAACAATCCTGTCTACTCCAACTCCTACGATATGTTCATGCGCGGCGAGGAGATCCTGTCCGGCGCGCAGCGTATCCACGATGCCGAGTACTTAATGGAGCGAGCCAAGCACCATGGCATTGGTGAGTACCCCCTACAAATAATAAGTAACAGGTAGTTTTTACTTACGTAACTCCTAAGGTCAGCTTAGTCACAAGATCCCTCGCTAAACAATAATTAGACTGCAATGAGTAAATAGTATATACATATGCCTATCTTAAGTGCTAATATTGGACTTTGGCAGATAAGAAGTGCAAACTTATCTACTCTAACAAAATGTCAGCACTATAGCGTAATTCTTAATTAACGCCATATTTATTTGTTTTCTAGATACCTCCAAGATTGCGGCGTATATCGAGTCCTTCCGCTATGGATGTCCTCCACACGCTGGCGGTGGTATTGGAATGGAACGCGTGGTGATGTTGTATCTGGGATTGGACAACATCCGCAAGACTTCCATGTTCCCACGCGATCCCAAACGACTAACGCCTTAAACACGCCAAACACAAACGACTTACTCTTTAGATTTGAATCCAATTCGATGAAATCATTGTTTTACTTTCCCTGTGACTTTCCAAGCATTCAGTTCTTTTTATTTTTACGCCAATCCCATTTGTGTGTGTTTTATCCTTTTTTCTCAAGACTAACATGCTGCGAAGTTGTTAAACAACGAGAAAAATGTACGGGAAGACTGCCTAGAGTCAAATTTATTTGGAAACTCGTAAAAAATAAATATTTGCGCGTATGTTTTGTACTTTAATAACTGCTTTTAATATCTTGGCTGGTGATTTTGAAATTGGTTAAAAGGTTCTAAATATTAAAGTAGAGTGAATATTCACTTTTTATTTAATTTTTTGTTGCATAGTTTTAGGGTGTTTAAAAAGGCTTCGAATTTTGAGTCTTGTAGTTTATTGATTGTACTTGGTCAGTGAGATATATTTATAATTCATTATTTAATGTTGCAAACAAATTAGTTTGATTAAAAACTATAAGTCTAATCTGGTTCAGTACGTTTTATTAGGATTCGTTAATACGATAATTCTGAGAATAATAATTCTAACAAATTTAATTCTCAAAGGTCTGGCTTCCCTTGTGTTTCCCGAAATCAGGATCAAGAAAAGGGATTCTATGAGGGTAGGCACCACTTTTATTATCTGGCATTAAGACCTTCAAAATTAAGCTTATTTTATTATTTATGTAGGCTGCTTACTAACCTTTATATTTTTATTGGTGATCTTTAATAAGGCTGATGATCTTAAATACTGTGAGAATCCCCGAAATAATATCCCCATAAAGTTCCGTCGGACATGTCTTTTTGTTCAGTCAATTTCTTCCTTAAGTTACACTTGAACATTATTTCTATTCCTCCATATTCATAGAAGTTTCTTCACAACATTGTATGCGACTTTGCTTACGTCTAAGGTAAAACACCTTTAGCATATTACAAAATAATTAAGTTGTCACTGGAAAAACACTTTGTATTCTGATTTTTCTGGAATTTGAAAATGTTAAGCTAAGTTCAGGTCCTCCAAGCGCTGTTGTTGAGCTATCTTCCATTTCATAATTTTGATATTAACCACACCATTCACCGTTTTTTTTCTATCGTTATTTTCCTATCGGAAATCTAACAATTAAATGTGTAGAAGACCCGTCTTTCACTTTATCGCATCCACACCTTGTCAACACAGAATCCGCGGCGAAATGAAGGCGAATGAACAGCACAATAAATTGTATTCATTTGCAATCAGATTATTATCAATACGAAAACTTCTCGGTTGAGAAGTGCTGGGGGGCTGGGAGAGGGACTGGAAAACAAGGATTGCGGGGGCACTGCAAACACTGTTGACACAGTTGGCGCATACTTTTCATTGCGGAAAGGCAAGGCGAGGCACGAAAGGACGAAGTAGAAGGCCCCGGATGAATGCGAATTCCTTTCAATCTGTTTGTCGAACTTTAAAATCAGAGAGAAACAGCAGGAGTTTCGTCTACTTGAGGACACAATTGAGACGCACTCCATTTTATTTTCACACCGATGTGGCATCGTTAGTTGGAAACCTGGAAACAACAACACAACGCTGAATGCGGCAGCAATCAAGTGGGCGGTGCTTGGCAACTGCAGCACACCAGTTGTCTCGCTCCCACTGCGCGCAGATGACTGCCGTGAGAGGGAGATGGCCCGATGCAAGAAATTGCCATTTTGTTTTCAATGCCGCGGCGACTGCGCTGCCGTCGCGCTGCCCGCAAATGCATTGGACTTACCGCTCCTTTTGCCAGTTTGTTTTTTCTCTTCCGATTGAGCGGCAGCCGGAGCTCTCCGTGTTTTTCTCTCACCGCCGCGCGGGATTTTCGATTTTCGGATTTTCGATTTCAGCGTGAACGAGAATATCGAAAAATTAAAACGAAACCAAAACAAAATCCCAGTGAGTGATCGCGGCAAGTGCAGTTCATTTGTTTTCCAAGTGCCACATCGCAAAGCAGAATAATAATTATAGAAATAGAGATTTCCGCGGATGCTGCAATTGCCAAAATAGTGCCGTTCTCCATCTCGTTTCCGCTTGCCCGCTATCTCCCTCATTCCCTCTCTTTCTCTCTCTATCGCTCTCGCACAATCGGGCCGCCAAGAATTTATGGAATTCGGCATTTTGTGGATTTAGCGAAAATATTTTCATTGAGTGCGCCGACCAAATGTTTGCTGCTCGCTTTCGGTTAAAAATAATCGCAGAAACCCCTGCGCCAAAATCTCAAGAATTCACGTGCGAATTCCCCAGCGCGTATCACTTTAATTACTATTCAAATTAACAACCACAACAACAAAACGATCAATCGGAAAATTTAGTCAAGTTTTGCCTTGTCAAGAGTTGTGAAATCGTTGTATGCTTCCAAAAAAAGTGCACTGTAACTAGAATTGTATTGATACCGCTGCACATCTTATTGGATTACACAAAAAACTTTCAAGTGGTAAGTACGCGTTGGACAAAAGAAAAGTCCAATTGGACCCTAGTTATTTTCCTACTGGGACCAAATTAATAATCATAATTTCACTTATTTTTATTGTTTTTTATTCGATTAAATTTTTACTATGTGTATTTTGCTAAACGTCTAAAATGTATGTTTTTAATTGGAATAATTGATTATATTATGTTGTATACGTTTTTTTTGTGTTTTGTGCGCTTTTAGAGTACAACGCGAAAAGCTTAGAAAAGTTGAAGAATTAATAATAGAAGTAATAGTTTTGTGAGATGTAAATAGCAGTGAGCTTGCCGTTATTGGATATATGTATTGTTTTTATAATAATGATTGTTTTACGTGGCAGCTAACTGTTTTTGAAACTCTTTGAGTTCGATGTCCCGACGGATCCTAACTTAAGAATTATTTCTTTTGCCGTCGGAACTTATAAAATTTTAATTTTCATATATTTGAGTTGCTCTCTCTGTATGCAATAAAATAGTTTGCTTAACGTTTGGCATTTCGTCTTGGTGCAACAATTAAAAATTATGTAGAATAATGCTAGCATAAAAGACCATGTTGGTGTATGAACAAGTTTGATTCGATAAAAATGTTGTAAACATTTTTCATTTGTTGTAAAAGAACAATAAATACATATATATTATTCCTCAAAAAATGTTGCAATTCTTATCCAAGTGGTAACCCGGTTTTGAGTCATGATTAGTCAAGATTACATGTAAACTAAACTAAACGCTAAACTAAAGTAAAAGCCAATGTAGGAACCTGTTAAACTTCGAATTATTAGGCTTAAAGTGATTCCTTGTTTTCCGACGGATAAGTTTAAAACGTTTTTTATTAACTGTTTCTGTAAAACCTTTCATCTATACATAGTTATTGGTTTTCATTTTGATGATTATTAGCTTAGCTGTGAAAGCGTTCCTTTGTGAATTTTTATACCCATTTTCCAACATGATGATGGTTGGTTTACATGCAATTACTTTTCAACACACATTTTTGGTTCGAATAGTGCCATCATTAAAGTCGGTTTTAACATAAACGCCAGAAATTGGCTCTTCAGCTTTGAATTTCTTACCACAATTAGCAAATTGTTAATGCCTTCTCCTGCACTTTTCTCCATTTTCCTTCCAGTTGGCAATTCTTCGTCGGAAACGCGGATGAGAAACGAAATTGACGTTCCAACGCCAAAGGGAAGAAAAAAAAACTGAAAAAATAGAAAACAACGACTAAGAGCAATCAACAATGTGGAAATGATAATTGCAATTGCCTGCACAAGCAAACAAAGAAGAAAGAAGCAAGTGAAGAAAGTCGAAGAGCGACGAGGGGAGGAAACTGAGTCCAAAAGAAAAGGAAATTACCCACGAACGGGAATGGGAATGGCAAATGCATAGAAAGAAGTTTGCGAAAAGAAAAAAACAACAGAAACATAAACAAAAAAAAACAGACGAATAGCAATTATAGCTGCTGATACAAACGCGATGGTGTTTTACAATATGTAAATATAATTAGCCGAGCGGAGTTTTCATTCCAGGAATTTCGCCAGCCAACAAAAGAAATAAATACTACAACTGCTGCGGAAAAAATACGATAAAAACAACAAAACACACGCCTTGACTTGAAAGCCGGTTTTATAATTACTCCAAGTTTTAGCCCCGTCTCTCTCCGCGCTCTCTCCGCGCTCTCTCTATCTCCCTCTCTTGAGAGAGAGCATTCAATTTCAAGCCCCGATACGATTACAAATCCAATTGGAACCACGCGTATTGGTATCACAATTCCGCGCTCAAGTGACAATACCAATTTAACTACCATCCGTCGCCAAACCGCAATTGCAGTGAGCCAGTGTGAGTGCCAGTGGCAGTGTGTGTGAGTGAGTGGCAGTTGCAGTTGCAAGTGCGCTTGCCTCTGCGACAATGGCAGTGTCCTGCCCCGAAGTTATGTACGGTGCCTACTATCCATATCTGTACGGGCGCGCTGGACCAAGTCGATCCTTCTACCAGTATGAGAGGGTGAGTACCGCCATGAGTACCCGTTCGAATCAATTGGCCACTGGCCACCCGAACTTTGAATATTTGGGCTGGTAATCCAGTCAACAAAATTGCTTGCAGAGCAATATTACTTAGTAAACATCTTATTCTGTAGATTAGCTTGATTTATCGGATTAAACTCCAAGCTTATAATTAGGATTTTTACCATCATAGAAAGAGTAGTTACTTAGCTTCTGATAGCCAAACCTTTTGAGCGTAGGTTGCTGTTAAGCGATTAATCTTATAATGGTAGCACTAGTTAGTTTATTAATAGCTTTAATATTTGACCCAATTGAGAGATACTCCAAGATCAATCATTAATCACTTAAGAGCAACTACTGGTCATTAAAATACTGGTCTTAAAAATTATTCAGTTATTTCATATTATTCTCTTTGATCAAATCACAGTAAAGCCTATAGTTGCAATCATAATTTATTTTCAATTAGTAACAAATTAAATGATTTAAGGTAAGAAATGAGAAAAATAACAAATTAGATAGTAAAACAACACAGTATATAAGGGTCGACTCCCAGAAGTCGCCACAATTTGAGATGATTTAACTTATTAGATCTATTAAATACTAATTACCCGCTAATTTCATAAAATATCAAAGAAATAAGCTGCAATCGACCGACAAAAGTGTTGTTTTCCAAATTTGAAACTTGGACATTTTTGGGGAGGCGGTTTTTGTGGTTAATGCACGTACCAAGGTGTTAAAAATATCCAAACTTACAGTTTGCTTGTAACTCCAAATTGGTAGTGCAAATGGGT